ACCGTGCATGGTTTTAATTTGTAATAATAAGTACTTCAATTCACGGAGTAGCCATTCATCTTCTTAAATATTTTATGTTCTACTCTAGTCGATCTTCTGCACTCTAATAAAAACAAGTGGTTAATTATGATGATCGGAGAAAAGTGTTTAGAAGATGATTAAATGAGAAATATACATTATTGCTTGGTTTAAATGCAAACTTAAATTGGCATATGATCTTTCTCCTTTATTCAGCCTCTATCACCAACGTGTGTACAAGGAGACTATTCCCAACTTCATTCCAATTTCAAAATTGAGAAAGGTCCTTGATGATGTTAACTATTTGGATACACATATAGTGATATAGGATTTGAAGTCGATCTCGAACTTGAAAATCTAGCTTAAGAAATTTCAATTACAAACGTTGATATTAGGAAATTCTTTTCTTTTATTCCGTATTGCATACTAAACAATTGTTAGTTACGGAGTACGTGTGCATAGACTACATATGTCACATGCAATACTTTACAACCACATGTATATTTTATACTAGTTTTGTGCCCAGACGATGTCCGGATTGTTGATAAAATTTTAAGATAAACTTTTTGGCTTGAATGTTAAATACGGTCATATAATCCCTTTTAATAATGCAGTATATATAGACATGCGATATCATATCGCTTATTTATAAAATAATGTACCTTTTGTAGTTTTGTTCGTAAATAGATAGCTATGTTATTATTGACTTGATTTTTTTTTTTAATTGAACTTAGATTTTTTTTACTAAACTAAAAATATTTTTACCAAACTTAAATTACTTTTACGGATTAAAACTTATTTTTATTGATTTTCTATTATTTTTAAAAAATAAATTAAATGTATTATAAATGGAACTTATTTTAAAGAACTTTTTGAAACAAATTTTATGATGGAAATAAAATCGAGTTATAGGATATTTATTAATAGTTATGAATAAATTTGTTTATATGAAATATAAGAAGTATAGTGATAATAAAACTCTAAACAACATTTTTATCTTAGAAAATCTATCCAAAGTTCTCTTATTTAGCATCATATGTGTCACAATAATACCTATTTGTCGCCTATGTAGCTTGACACTTGGCTAAAAATTGGAATGCCAAGTATCGCTGTCTCGTGGCCTGGCTGCGAGACCGACTTTATATATTAGTGACTAGTTTTGTGCCCGGATGCCCAGGTGGTTGATAAAATTTTAAGGTAATATTTTTACTTGAATGTTAAACGGTCAATAATTCGTTCTGATGATGTAGGATATTTAGACATACGATATCATATGGCTTATATTTATATGATAGCGTTCTTTTTGTAGTTTTGTTTGTAAATAGATATCTATGACTTGGAATTATTTTTATTGAACTAAAATTATTTTTACTGAACTGAAAGTATTTTTACCAAACTAAAATTATTTTTACTGATTCTCTAATATTTTTCTTAAATAAATTAAATAATAATGCATTTTGTAAGCGGCTAGCCACACCATCTGGCCGGACAAAGTAATACCTATAAAAATGACCGAGTAACCCCTATAATACTAAATGAGTAACCTCTAACACTAACTAAGTAACCCCTATTTATAACACTGATTGAGTAACCGCTATAACACTGACCAAGTAACCTCTATAGCACTAACGAAGTAACTCTTGTAACAATTGGTGACACGGTTTGGCCAGCTACGTATAAAAGTTTGTGATTAAATATATTTTAAATGGATCTTATTTTAAAGAACTTTTTAAAACGAATTTATGATGGAAATAGAACCGAGTTATAGGATATTAATTAAAAGTTATGATTAATTTTGTATATATGAAATATTAGAAGTATATCGATAATAAAACTCTATATAATATTTTATCTTAAAAAATCTATCCAAAATTCGCTTACTTGACATCATATGTGTCACAATAATATTGTCACCTACGTGGCGCGACAGTTGGCGAAAAACTGAAATGTATGTGTCTCTGTCTCGTGGCCTGGCTGCGAGACTGACTTTATTTATTAGTAATATGATATGATCAGCGTTGTTTTCTGTGTGGCTAGCCATACCGTATGACCGATTGACACACGAGTAATTCTTGACTAACAAGTAACCCCTGACCGACCAAATATATCTCCTCCTCAGTCCTCATCTGATCATCTCTCAATGCAATAGATTAAAGATAAGGGTAAAAACTAGCGATTCTAATTAATTAAAAAGCTTCAAGTAGTTGAGCTGTTTGAATTAATGGATTATAAATGGTTAGGCTGTGATAATAATACACTTGTAGCAAAATATTACTGATACCAATAGTAATGCCAAAAATGTATAATTCGTACGTACCATACTTTAGCTAACGTAATACTCTAGGATAATGTTCTCTTCCTATACTTAGTATAATTATTAAGTTAACAAGTAATAATGCACGTTTTCTTGTTCTTCTTTTGTTATATTCAGGACATAAATGCTAAATCTAAAATCATACTAAACTTGAAAAAGATACAAAATTTTAGAAACCAATACCAGTATACCACATGTAAGAACAAAAAGTGATGAAATACTCTAAACAACCCTAAAAAAAATTATACTGTAATATTATTAATTTATATAGGTGTATAGCTGTGTATGAAAGTATGAAACTGAAAACAATAATAGCCATATTGAATGAGAGAACAAAACTTATGAGAAAAATGCCAGAAACATAAAACAGAAAAAACCAATATTTTAGGTCCCACTGAAAATAGGAGTTCTAACAGAAAGTACATTAATTGGCTTCCTGGTCTTACTCATGGATGTTACTTGAAATGCCATGTTTCTTGGTATTTAACGTCCTCTAGGGCCAGATAACATTTTCAGCATAAGCACGGAAAGAAAGGATTTCTCTCAGAAAATTAAAAAATATTTATATATCGATCATCTCCAAGAGTGGACTCAAGGATCCATTCTCAAATCCTTTGATTTTTCATAATACATCTGTCCCTGCCTTGATTGAATCATGGCATGTTGATCATGGCGGTCAATTAAGTCCGCGGTATATAAGGATATACTTGTGAGAGAATGTCGACTGATTAACAAACATGGGGTTGCATCAACCCTTAGAATTGTACACTTACAAAATAATAAATATATATTCTTAAGAAAAGTAGGGATATTTGAAGATAAAACGAAAGCGTATTTCACTTAAAAAGGACGCCAAAGGAAGTTTTCCAAGGACCCTAAAGGTCGGTATAAACTTGATCAATTGAACTACTCATATAAACGCAAATGTTAAATATTTTTACTTGTACATAGCATTTTTCAACAAATTAAAGAAATACTTCCTATGCTCTTTTTAAATTGTCACAATTGAAATTTTACATTATTTTCACGTACATAGTTGTGATCTGATTTCCTTTTATGATTAACAGGAGGAAGTAATTATAAGACACAAGTTAGAACTTTTTTTTTTGGTTGCCAAAGATTATTCTTATCTTAAATTTTAAAAGAAAACAACACTCTAAGATACCTTTCCTCTCACAAAAAAAAAAGCCACTTAGCTAGCTAAAGGTGTAATAAAAGCAAGAAATATGCAAAAAAAAAAAAAAAAAAAAAAAAAAAAAAAAAAAAAAAAAAACCTCCTCGATCACTGTACCTAGCTAATTGCTTTTAATATATAGTACATGTCATGCATAAAAATTGAAAAAATCACAAATTTTAACTCTTGCGGAAGTCAATTGCATTCACATAGTTAGTGATCGAGTACCTTTTAATTTCTTTTGATGTTCGACCTTTGTAGTTTATGTAAAAGTATAAAAAAGAAGTTTTTGGAATGAAACAAGTAACTGTCAAAAAGAAACTTTTTATTTTAGTAAAATTAAATTTAAACTATTAGACAATATGATACGAAAACTTGACCGGCCAATTTCCTTCATGTGTCCTTTTCAAGTGAGGTTAACCATGCAAACTGTTCTATTATAATGACCATAATAATTAATGAACTAATGATAATAATCTTAATAGGATGACACTTTATTTGAAAATTCTTCTCTAGGCTATGTTTATGCCATTGTATTTACGTGTGCTTAAAACAACGAAAGATCATACATTGACTTTACCGTACTTCTATGTATGATAATGATAAATAATGAATTATCTCATGCGTTATTATCATATTATATTGAATGAAATGAAATGTTGTAATACTCCGTAAGTAAAAGCATAAAAGAAAAAATAACACTACTTATGTTAGCAAATTTAGTATAAGGTGATTTTCTAGAACACAATGATCGTCTTTTGAATATCTTTCACACAATTCCTTGAAATTATCAACTCATCTTTAATAGTTTCCTCACTATGCATACTAGTAACTTATTGATTGTTCACGTATGTACACTCAACTTATTATTCCACAAACTCAATTTTCCTTATCATTTTGTCATAGTTTCACTCATGGCTTGAAAATTAGACGGTCCTTAATTGTTATTCCCTACTTGACCACCCCAACATGCATGGTCAAAACTCTACAAAGAAAGTATTACATTAGTAATTAAGAATAACTGAGAAATTAAAACAATTAACAAAAGAAAAATAAAGACATAATAACAATTAATTAATTACTTATTCTATACATGGGTTTTTAACTTTTTACACACTTTTTACATATTTTACAAATTGATCGATCAAGCTAGCTAGCATGTGACAGTAACTACGTAAAAAAAAATGAAAAATATAGAAAAAAAAAAAGCAAAATAAAAAGCTGAAAATGAATATACAGAGAAAAAAGTAGGAAGAAAGTTAAATGAGGAAAAGAGAAATAAGTACAGAAGAAAGGTTTGATAAGAGGATTTTACTACTTCTTTACAAGTCTAATTGAAAAATGAATGATGGGTAGAATGAATATACAAATAGACAGTTTTTTCTGCTGTCTCTCTTCATTTACAAATCATTGTCCCTTTTTACATCCTTGCTTTTTCATCTCACTTTTTAGCACAGATTGGAAAGATGGTTAGATTAAAGAAAAGTTTTTAGCACTTGGGAGATTATTTTTATTTTTACTTTTACAAAAGCTTTGTTTTTATAAAGATTTTTTAGATAAAAAAGAAAGAATTTTTTTTATTTTTATGGGGGTAGGGGAAAGATATACTATAGGTCCCAACTAAGGAAAAGACAAAATGGGCAACATCAGATTTGATGGTGGTTTTTTATATTAATTCTTTCAATAATTCTATGGTTATTTAATTATTCACCAATCAATTAGATAGTTTTTTATATAACGGGTGTGTTATATACAACACTCAACAGCCTAGGATATATATGTTCTTCTCACCCATACTTATTAGATTTGATCAACCCAAATTTCATTTCATTGTTTACATCTAATCAATTAACCTTGATTAGTATTGATCAAACCTAAGTAACCCTAAACTTTTTTTTTTTTGCTAATTTTTTTCTTTTCAAAGTGAAGAGAACGCTACTTAGTCAGATCACCCATTTACAAAGTCGACTTTTATGTTATTTGAAATGACTTAGTTGTACTATTGTACATATATAATATCTCCGCCCCTTTGAACATACACTAAATGGCTATAAGCCTATAATCTATTGTTTCATTGTCTAATTTACTGGAAAATAATATTTTTAACGATATTAAGAGTTTTTTCTCGTGAGGAGGATCTGGTAATGTCCTCTTTTCTTATCCATGTTAAAAAAAATTAGAAAAAAAAAAAAAAAAAAAAAAAAAAGTATGTTTGCCATTTTCCTTTGGAATTTGGGCAGTGGTTTTTAGTGAGAGCACAAGGACTCTCTCTCTCTCTTTTAGTACTCTCTAACTTTGTCTCTCTAGAATAATATGGGTCGGGTTAAATTTCTTGGTTAGGATATTTCTTGATTTTAGAAAACCATATTCATATTTATCAAAAAACAAATTATGTTATATACTCACACTAAGCTACCACCTACAGAATTCATTTTAGCCTTATTCAGCACCCTCTCTCTTTCTCTCTCTAAACACAGACACAATAACTTTCTCCCTCTAAAAAACTCCACTACTTACATAACTTTCTCTCTCTAAAAAAAATGAAAGTTGTCTGTTTGGTTGCAGCCAAAGGAAGAAGAAGCCATCTACTAAGAGGCTGCTACACCTCCTAGCTTCTTCTGTTAGTGCTTCATACCATTTTCTTTCATATATTAAACTTTATTCAAATATTTCATCTTAGCTTAGTCTTTCTTTCTTTCATAAATTTTCCAGATTTGGGTTTTCTTTTGTCTTTTTAGATCATTACACATATTTTTAGATCCTTCAAAAAAAATTTATTTTTTGTAAACATGACAAAACAAAGATCCAAAGTTGCTAATTATTATTTATAGTTTTCCAAAAATCCACCCAAAAAAAAAAAAAAAAAAAAAAAAAAAGAAGAATGATAAAACATCAGCTACAACAACAAGAACAAATTTTTTTGGAAGAAAACATGTCAAATTTGACTTCTGCTGCTTCTGGTGATGCTAGTGTTTCTTCTGGTAATAATAACAATAATAGAGGTGAACCTAGCAACTCTTTCTACTTTCCACATCATCACTCTGATGAACAACAGCCTTCTCAACAACCTCCGGCTAAGCGGAAGCGAAACCTACCCGGTAACCCAGGTAGGTCAAATTCAATTTTTAGTTGTTCTCGTGTACACCTATTCGTTTGTTTCATTTATTAACCCACGACGTGTCATGTGTTATATATATATGATTGTTTATTTCAGACCCAGATGCAGAAGTAATAGCTTTATCACCAAAATCACTTTTAGCAACAAACAGGTTTGTATGTGAGATCTGTAACAAAGGGTTTCAAAGAGATCAGAATTTACAGCTTCATAGAAGAGGGCATAATTTACCATGGAAGTTGAAGCAGAGGACAAACAAAGAAGTTCGGAAGAAAGTTTATGTTTGTCCTGAAACAAGCTGTGTGCACCATGATCCTTCAAGGGCTTTGGGTGATTTAACTGGGATTAAGAAACATTTTTGTAGAAAACATGGTGAAAAAAAATGGAAATGTGATAAATGTTCTAAAAGATATGCTGTTCAATCTGATTGGAAAGCTCATTCTAAGGTTTGTGGTACTAGGGAATACAGATGTGATTGTGGCACCCTTTTCTCCAGGTACTTACTTAATTTCAATAATTACTTTATTAATTTTAATTATATCATTTTTATTAAATAAACTAACTTGTAGTTATATAATTAAACTGGGCTAATCTTAATTTGTTTCTTTGATTGTACTTGGTTCTTGTTTTGAATTTTGTTGTGAGGCCAGGCAATTATCGTTTAAACGGGAAGAATTTTTAGAATTTGTTTATGGAATAATTATTAGATGGTAAAGAAATAGGGAAGAGACAGAAATTAAAACAAGAGGGGGGAAGCAAAAAGTTGATCAGAAACATGATTAAAATAAAAAAAGATGCATGATTTTTTGTTTTGATGTGAGTATGTGAGAGTGTATGCATGTGTTAAGAGTATAGTACTGCTTTTTATTTTTTTCGTTTTTCTTTTTCTTTTAATGTGGGGGTGTTATGTTATATATTGTGGAAGTCATGTGATAAGATGGGGTTGTTAATATGTTTGTGCAGGAGAGATAGTTTCATAACACACAGAGCATTTTGTGATGCATTAGCAGAGGAAACAGCTAGATCAATCACTACAAACTCAATTCTACCACACCCTATTGCTGCTGCTGCAGCTGCTGTCGCTGCGGCCGGGCCTTCCAACTCTCACTTCATGACCCCTCAGCAACATCAGCAGCAGCAGCAAGTTCAGTTTCAGCAACAACAACAGCAGGATTCGCTACATGCATTCCCACCGAAAAGAGAGCAACAACACCACATTATGAATCTCCCACCATGGCTTGCTTGTCCATCAATAGATCCATCATCGTCGTCATCATCATCAATCTTCCATCACCATCCGATGATGCCACATCAGCAACAGCAACAAAATCCAAACCCTAGTAACAACAATAACAACCCTAGCATGGGACCCACGTTCTCATCATCCTCAGGAGGAGGAGGAGGTACAGGAAGTCTTGGTGGACCTTACCACACACAAGTATCAGTAGCGGCATCATCTCCCCACATGTCAGCTACTGCATTGCTGCAAAAGGCAGCTCAGATGGGCGCTACCATGAGCAACACTGCAACCACCCAACCCCACCACCACCACCACCAAAACCACCACCACTCGCAACGTCACGTGAGTGACACTAATGCCAATACAACTACTACAGCTGGTTTATTTGGTTTGAATTTGTCCTCACGTGAACAAGATATCATCCCAACCAGTACTACTACAAATAATACTAGTGGCCTTATTGTAAACCATGCTTTGTCTTCTTTTGGGAATAAACCTGCAACAACCCCCACAACACCACCACCAACAACAACCACTACTAATGTTGGTGCTGCTACCTCCATTGGTGGGTCTGATCACCACCTTACAAGTCCGAGTTCGAGTCTGAGTCCAAACACCAACCTACCACCACAACCACCAACATCCTCCTCTAGCTTCTTCCATGACATGATGGTTAATTCCATTTCATCTTCCTATGATCACCATGATGATGCATTTGGTATCGCGGGTATGAGTACCATGTTAGGCACTTCCAAGAAAGGTGGTGATGACACTTCTTCCTTAGCTGCATTCCATCACTCACTCGGCGACGACGGCAGTGGTAACAACAGCAACAGTGGAGGAGGCAATGATGGATTAACAAGGGATTTCTTGGGATTAAGACCACTTTCTCATAATGATATTCTCTCCATTGCTGGACTTGGTAATTGCATGACTACAAATCATCATCATCATCAACAAGATAGCCATAAATCATGGCAAGGTTAGCTAAATATATAGCTAGTAATTTAAGTTTAATTAATTAATTACTGCAACAACATTTTGCTTCTCTCTTTCTTTTGTTGTTGCTTAGTTAGCTTCTCTCAAAGGGAAAGGGCTTTTGATACATTATATTGTTAAACCAAAAAAATACATGAATACGCCCTTTTTTTGGCCCTCCGTTTTTTTTTAGTATAAAGTTTTATATATATATATATATATATATTCAAATTTGTATAATCAACCCTTGTTACTACATTTTCTATATCATATCATATGAATATTCTACATAAAATATAATATAAAGTATACTCTTTTCATCATGATAAATAAATAAATAAAATAAAATGAAAGTGAGCCCTAATTTTATTTTTATTTTTTTGGTTTCAAAGCAAAAGCCTAGGAATATTACCATCTTTAGGAAATAATCATTCATATGCAATGCAAATTTAAACTTTGGCTTTTTTTGGTGGATTTTTTTTTTTTATTATATATAAAAATATAATAGTGTTTTTTTTTTTTAAATGACAATATATTTGTGTTAGTGCATGTGATGTGGTGTCTATTTAGAGGAGTGACTCTTTTTTTCTTTCTGTCAATTCTTTCTCTTAAGGACCACTTTAGCCCTGGCCATGCACCGCACGTGGTCCAACCTTTTGAGCACCCTCTCTAGTCTTATTCACATGAAAACCTTAGCTTATAATTTTAGTCCTTGATTATGAGTTAATTACTTTAATAATACAGTTTTTTAGCAATTCGATGATTTTGTTATTAATTCATGTTATATCCATTAATGATAATGTCTAAGAACAAAAGTATGTTTGTTTGTTTGTTAATCATGAGATTGTGACATTCCCTATATATATATATTCTTATTACCAATGTAATGCATGCATATGGTATTTGATGAATTTGTTAATAGTTGAATTTGTCCCTACTTATTGCATATGTAAGTTTAATTAGTGATAATTAACAAGTTAATGACTGTAAATTTGCTGACCTCAACTTGAATTTGTAGGGTTGTATTGACCTGTTTTAAGGTTGATTATTTAAACTATGCATTCGAATGGGATGACATGAGATATCCTCTATCTTAAAAGTTGAACTAGATAAGCTAAGCCATTTTTTAAGAGGTTTATTTTAAAAAAATTGCCTACTTTTGATAGGAAAAACTAAAATTTATTTTAGAGTGTTCCTGTTCCTCTCGATTGATTTTTATTGATTGAAACAGATTTTAATATGATAAAATCGATTTTCTCTCTTTGATAATTGAATTTTGATTTTTTATAATTTTCTTTGATTTATAGAATTGATTTTAAGAAAGCGAAACTGATTACATTTTTATTAACACTAAAAATTTACAAGTTGAAGAGTACATCCAACATGTTACCTAAATGAGACAGTGATGATCCTATATCTTTCACAAGTAGTTTTGTTTTTCATGGCTTTTCCTCATCAGCAAATGGAGAAAATAAATTGATGAGGAAACCATTTTCTGAAGACTGTACATTGTTAATATTATGTGATGAAAAGGAAACTTTTTCATTATTATGGAATATAATTTTAGTTCGATAAATTGGTAATTTGAAACAAGTCAAGATGAATATGCACATAGATCGATTATATTATATCCCTGTGACTCGATAAATCACATACATGCATGATGCATGCCAAGTATTTCATGCTTATATTATTTCACTTTGTTTTGTACAGAAGCCAGTCTTATATAGGCATTTTTTTTTTAAAAAAAAAAAAAAAATTAAGGCCAGGGTTATTTTATCAGACAGTGATTTTTAAAATAATAAGTACATCATATAATATTATGCCTTTATTTTAAAAAGAGAAAAATACTTCGTACTATTATTATTGTCCATATTAGAAGTTGATCAATAATCACAAAACTTAATGTAATATATGCTACTTATTGCTACATGATTTTCTTCTTTTGAGTACTATTGCCTTTAAGCAAATAATGAAAATTTCTACTTTAAATTTTGATGATCATTTTTGGATGGAGTGATTCCTTTTAAATTAAATTGAAGTTCACAACGCACTAATGCCTTAATAACAGTACATCGCATTTCCATAATTAAAAAAAATAAATTAGGGTAATTATGATATATACTTCCAAATCAAATAAGAGAAATAAGCAATGAAATTCTTTTAATGAGAAAATAATTAAAACCACGTATATAGCTTCTTCTTCTTCTTCTTCTTCTTCTTCTTCTTCTTCTTCTTCTTCTTCTTCTTCTTCTTCTTCTTCTTCTTCTTCTTCTTCTTCTTCTTCTTCTTCTTCTTCTTCTTCTTCTTCTTCTTCTTCTTCTTCTTCTTCTTCTTCTTCTTCTTCTTCTTCTTCTTCTTCTTCTTCTTCTTCTTCTTCTTCTTCTTCTTCTTCTTCTTCTTCTTCTTCTTCTTCTTCTTCTTCTTCTTCTTCTTCTTCTTCTTCTTCTTCTTCCTCTTCCTCTTCTTCTCACTAGGTTTTGTATTTAGGTCATGACCTAAATAGATTAGTATAGGCCAAAAACAACTTAATTTCTTCGAATATCTAGCTATATTTTATGTATTATCATTGTACTTTTGCTTAATTTAATCAACTGTGGCCTTTTTTTTTATATATATAATATAAGTTTGCTAACTATATAAATTAAATGAGTGTAGTTAGTGTTTGTTTTTGTGTTAATCTCCTTTATGGAGTTATGTATAGTTGAGATAATTTATTTTATTAGTGTTTTAGATAATACAAATTGATTCTTGATGGAGATCTACACAATATACGTAGTATATAACAGCAATTATTACAGTTAGATTAACCTGATTGAATCTATGTACTTCACAAATAGTATTAATCTAAAGTTCGTTTATGATGCGAAATTACTTTATTTGATGTATAGATCGAAAGACGCAAAGGGTAAATAATGTACACTTGATTTAAATGATGTGAATGTATGAATCTCGATCCAAGTATACTTACCAATCATCTATCTTATGTTTCAAAGGGAGATTCTCAAGACATGACTTAAACAAGGGCATACATCCTAAACTCTTTATAAATTATAATTCACACTACTTGTTTGCAAATTGCATGCACACAATTAAACAAAGTAGTTAATTATTTAGATATTTTTTAATAAAAGTAAGGAAAAAAAATTCATTAAGACAGCTTTATATATCGATACGAATTGATAAAAATTCTCAAATATAACAACTTTTGGCCATATGCTACAGTACCATATGCTTATTTATCATGAGAAATGATAGAAAAACATACTATAAAAGTCGAAGAATGAATCTTCCATAAAAAATAATTATCACCGAAATGGTACTTGACCTAAAATAAAGTTGCTAACTTTGCATCACTTATAATCATAACGAATTCAACATAATTGTACCGATTTGCACGACTATTTGTCTCGTGATGTTTTCAACTAGACTACTTGCTTGACGAGTTATCGTCAACTACATGTTTTTCTTTTAAATCTTTCATAATTAAAGTATATCATATTATATGTTTTTTTAATTATTTTTTATGGCCCTTAATTTTATAAGTAATTGATGTTAACATCTAAGGCCCTACGTTACTTGACTGTGGTCAGCCGTCCAATTTTTAAAAATGTCTTCCAATTCACCAAAAAGTTGGATGACCTTTAATAAGTGAAGTAGTAATATTTTGTTTTAATTAAAATTATTAGTAAAAGGCAAAAAGAAACAAAAATCAACCCACCTATAATTTTGGACGAATTTAAGTGTTTACAATTGTAGTAGAGAATAACTCAATAATCTAGGAATTTAAAGTAGCATCTATATCACAAACACACTCACGTTTTCATTGACAAAGACATGTTATGTGATGAGATTCAAATGGAGGTGCCTTTTTCTTTTTTCTTGTAAATTAATTTTACATTTGATGACGAAATGTAGCACCAACAAATATATATAATTGCTTAATATTATGAATGTGAGCATATACAAATCAATAGAGCTTTCCACAATTCCACCAATAATTGTCTATTGAAAAAGATGGAATTTCATAACTTCGAAATATATGGATAAGTTTAATAATTGATTTAGGTGAAGAAAAATTGAGTTAACATAGAATAAGTTTGCATTGACATGACCTCTCTCCAAAAAATAAATGAAAAATCATATTGATATAAGTATGATTTTTCTATAGTGAGTTGGTTATTCAATTCAATTAATACAATACTCTAATATATGGTCTAGGTTTGTGCTTAAGCTATGTGTATTTCGTTGAGTAAATGATAAAACAACTTAGCAAAAATCTCCCAAAAAAAAATGGTATTATAGTCGGATTAAAGTATAAAGTTTCAGATTTCCATTCTAGCATGAATCAAAGCTAAAGTTGATCAAAACTAATCCAACCAAGCCAAACCCATTTGAGATGATCGTAAAAAATGTTTTGGGCTTCGTTTTTATTTAGGCCCAACTTAGATTTTTGAGTCTATTAGATATTACTAAAACAGTAATTTGCTGACATCATCCTCTCCTCAAACTGTATACATGTCGCTTTCTCATAAAAAGTTTAGGCCCAACTTAGATTTTTGAGTCTATTAACTCTTAATGCACTTATGATTTCATATATATTTTTGGTTTTTTTTTTAGAAATTGGTTATTTTTAATTATTTTTATTTCAATCTTTGACTGTGTCAGTAAATAAATAAATAATTTTTTTGGTTGGAATAAATAAAATTGATATTGAGCTAAAACATTTTAGGTAACTACGACATTTTTTTTAATTTTTTTTTTAAAGGTTTTACTGTTGTTTGTGTGTGTAAACTAAGGATTGTGCAAGCAACCTACCTATGAAGTCATAATAATAATAATAATAATAATAATAATAATAATAATAATAATAATAATAATAATAATAATAAAATAATAAAAAAAAAAAAAAAAAAAAAAAAAAAAAAATAATAATAATAATAATAATAATAATAATAATAATAATAATAATAATAATAATAATGATATGGATGTTTGTTATACAAAAATGAGCTAATGTTGTCATTAAATGTTTTCATTGTTTCGCAGTATTTCCAAGGTGCTTCAATTTATTTAATTTTTTTTTTATTACACCGCTTCAATTTATTTAAGTTACATGTATTTTTAATTTGTATTTCGAACTCTTAGATATATAAATGTTACCATTGTTACTTAGTAATTTATAAGTATGTACGGGGAAATAATAAATAGAAACAATTTATTTCATTCTAATAATTTTTTCAATCCGTACATCGCACGGGTCTAATCTTGTTTTGAATAAAAAAAAAAAACTTTAATCAACCTATAATATGTAACTTACTTTTTTTTTTTTTTAAAGAAATATGTAACTTAATTTTAGCGCGTTTGGACATATATTTTTGGTTTGTTTTTTTTTTTTTTTTTTTCCAAAAATCCTCCCATGATAATCAGGCAGATCACCTTTAATCAAAGCATCATATTTCCATGAGCATGTGAGCTTTCTTTTAAGGTCTAAACTCACCTACATTCTTTATACTCACCTAAATTCTCTTACTTTATACCAGTACTTTTTATTATAAGTAAGCTAGTTAAGTGTGCGAAACATATAGTCGAATACATAATGCATTGCTTTACTAGGTTAAAACTGAGATTCTAAATTCTTTTGTAAAACATACAAATATTAGAGCAGAAAAGATGTATTCCATCATACTGATAATAATAATAATACTAAAAATAATATTCGAAACAATTGCCTATAATAAAAACTACTCAGTACCCCAATTTTGTTCAACCAAAATTAAGGGAGGTTTGGACATGGACATTTCACCCGATTTCATGATTGCATTGGTAAGAAAGCAATAAAACAGAAATAATTAATTAAATTTGTTAGGACTAAAAAGTTCCAATAACGATGATTAAACAAAAATGTAACCTTATTATAAAATACGTATGATTAGGCCATAATTAACATTAAAAAGTAGAATTCCATGAAACGTAAAAAACGCTTTAAAGAAAGAAGGTAGCAGAGAATAATAGATCAGAGAAAATCAAAAGCCAAGAAAAATGGTGGATCATATCATAATTTATTGACAGATTACTAATGTTAGGTCAATGTAGATGTGTAATATATATAAGTTGTGCTTTTTGCTTTGGAAAGTGGTGTTTGGCACATGTCTTTTTATTGGTCTTATAAAACAAGGTTTAATTAGGGGTTGTTATTAGATTAATAAAAATCATAATAATGCTTATATAAAACTAAAATAATGTAGATTCCTTTGAACTAATTAAGTTTTTATTTATAGGTTTGGATTGAATGAAGTTTTTAGGCTATGTATTTAGATCATGAGAACTAGAATGCTTTTTTTGCGAAAAAGGTAATGGTATGCTTAGCAAGTCAGGAATGTTGTACCCAAATAAATCCCTTTAGGTCTTTGTGTTGGTGTGATTAAGAGAGTTAAACTCTCTCCTGCAATCTCGTGTCGGTTAGGAGCTTTTTCCACCTTGTCAAAAAAAAAAAATGGCAAAATCAGGTGGGAATAGTCTAGAATAGGAAAGTTCTACATTACATATGACTGTATGAGCATGTAGGCTTATAAATAGGCATCCAAGACATCAATTGTACATCAAGCTGAGAGGTTTTAATACAAGCAATATTTTCAAATTTACCTCAATTTTCTCACTATATTTAGAGTGAGTAGATAAAACCTGATGAGGGGGTTTTTCCGCGCCACGTGGACCAATGGAGCTCTACCATGGGTCATCCAAGTGGATCAACCAGAGCCCGCCACGTGTCACCTCGTGAGAGGTCCAAGGTGGACCAATCAGGCCACGACATGTGGCAGGCAGATTGTCAACTAGGAAAGTGGCCCTTAATGGCCCAAATACTTAGGCAACCCTAGTCAGTCCTAGGTATTTGAAAACCTAGTATTGGGCACACATTTTAAGACCCTATAAAAGGGAGATGTTCTCCAAGAGGAACATCATTCAGAAATTACAAAACACAGGTGTACATTAATTGTTGAGCATTAACTCTAGCTTTAATTGCACTACTTGAGAGCTAAGGCTCGGATTTCGAGGTTATCTCAGAAAATCAGATGATCACTTCTCTCCTAAGAGGAACCTGAGCCCCTTAACATTCTGCACTTTTTAACATCCGAACACGTTCTAACTTGATCGTCAGAGGCGGAACTCCCACCCACAGGAGTCTCCGTTGTTTTGCAGGTACAGGCGTTTAGAGGTCAGTTTTGGTGTTGTAACTCTCCCGCAGGACATCCAAAAAACCTCGAAACAAAACCTATTCAAAAATTTTATATGAATGTTTTTCTTTTTAAAATATCGATATTATTATGAAAATTAAAAAAATTAAGTAGGCCAATTGACGCCATAAACAAACTATAAACTGAGATGAATGACTCTACTTAAGAATTTAAAAGGGCTTGCAAGTGGCATGTATGTTGTAGAGATTTTAATTCAACAACCTCTTTTTGAAAGGGAGATCGAAATAAATCGATCAAAACAAAATCTAAAATTTCAATGTGCAAAGCCACGTTGTCCCTTTATTTATTGCACCATGTCACCTTTTCAACATTTTATGATGCCACATCATCACTCAAATAATTTTAACCATTACGCCACGTCACTCAAGAAACCAATAACCAAGATGACTATTTAACCATCTAAGCCAATTATCAATTATGCTATTAATACGTAAAAAAATTTATATGAATTCAAACCACGAAGTTCAATTCAATTTTTATTAAAAAAAACCCCTCAATTTCGATTTGACAACGACAATTTCAATTTTGAAAAGCCTTTAATAATTAAATTTTATCGATTGCATGTCTACGATAATAGCAACCTAGGGCAATGCCCGGACTACTCACTAGTTTATATATTAAAAAGCATACATAAAAACGTTTATGTGTCACGTAAATATGCACTAGCATTATGCCACATCATCATTTAAGATCACACTTCTTACCATTTTAATTAGACAATGGATAATTATTCTTTTTTTTTTACTAACATTATGCTTTAAAAGTGACAACCCGGTACAACGCCTGGGCCACACACTAGTTAATTACTAATTAGGCCCTGTTTACTTCACCTTATTTTTGCTGAATTGAAATTATTTTTGCTGAACTTAAATTATTTTTACTGAATTGAAATTAATTTTATCGAATTGAAATTATTTTTGCTGAACTAAATTTATTTTTACTGATTTTCTATTATATATTTCTTCTTTAAGTTTACTGACTTTTACTGAACTGAAATTATTTTTATTGAATATTATTTTTTTTAAAGTGAACAGGGCCTTATTGTCTAATGAAGATTTATACGAGTTCACAACTCATTATTGGAATATACTCCCTCCGTCCCTTATTTTTTTGTTCCATAGAGATAAGTTGTTTTTATTAATAGTTGGTTAATTAAAATCAATATTGATTTATGCTAAATTTGGGCAAAAAATTTAAATGAAAGAGGAGTGTATTGTAATTAGACCTGACAATCGTGTCGGAAATTAAACGGGTTGGAGAAGGTCAACACTAACCCGACCCATTCAATAAACGTGTCGTGTTGACCCAATTAATTAATCGTGTCGAAAATCCTTAACACTAATCCGTTTTTTTTCGTGTTCGGTTCGTGTCGTGTTGAATTGAAAAATATTGGTCTTATTCAATATATTTATCAATAATTCCTTAAATTATTGAGTTTTTATATTAGGCGGGTTGGGTCGTGTTAATTTCGTGTTGAGAATCTCAACACTAACCCAACCTGTTTAATTAAACGTGTCGTGTCATGTTGACCCATTTAATTAAACGTGTTGAAAAAAAACCCATCACACTAACCCGTTTTTTTCTTATTCGGTTCATGTTGTGTTAATTTTTGTCGGCTCTTATTGTAATTGCGAGCTACTCCATCGTAGACGATCAGTTTTGGACCAATCTACTAGAGTACTAGACCAAACCCTAGTCAATATAGTCTAACACTTAACTCAGTAAATTTCAGTTGTACTGTACAATAACAAAACTACAATGGTAATAGTACTGCAGAAACCTGGAAAACCATGAGAGATCATCTTCCTCCTTCGACAACGACGACAATGAAGAACAAAGGGAGGTTCTTCTTCTCCACCATTAATTCTACTCTCATTTTCTCTCTCCTCGCCTTCCTCGCCTTATTCGCCTTCGTTGCTCCCCTTCCTTCTCTCTCCTCTCATTCTCCCTCTCATCATCGCCACCGTAAAAAGGTTTTGCATTTTTTGTTTCATTACTTTTCAATTTTAAGCTTCTTTCTGTTTTATTCTAGTATTTTTGCTCCGAATGCTGATTGATTTTTGTTTGATTTCTTCAATTTTGATCGTATTTGTATGGAAAGCAAGTTAATTGCAGTGGTTATGAGGATTCGGTTTGCTTGAATTTTTGAAAATTTAATGGATAATCATGTGAAATGCTAGTAAATTGGTGGAAATTTAAAGGTTTTGAGCTTCAATTTGTGAGATATAATGGGATATAATTGGTGAATTGTGGAATTAAAGTGGGACTTTTTATCAAGTAGAAAACATTCTGGTAATTTTAGTTAGGTAGAGCATGTATCGAAGATTCTGTTCATCAGCGTGCGCTCGGACCAATCATAAACCTAAGGCAATTCGTCATCGTGTTATTGTATCTTCAACATTATATAAATATGATTTTAGACAAATTTCCAAGAGTTTGGTTTTAGTGTTTGAGACATTTGTTGTCTATTTTCTTTGCTTAGATGATCTATGTTCTTAAACTCCTATGTGGATGTAAGATAATGATCTTCTTTAACTCGGTTTTAATTTGTGTGAAGTTTTCAACTGTAAGAGTGTATTGTGGATCATTTCTATATGATTTGTGTTGCAATTTCTTGTTTTCAACAACATTTCTTCTACAATATATTTCCTCTGTTACTTAATGTTCTTAACATTTGATATTTTGCTTAAGTGGCTTTGAATGTATTTGTAATTAACTAGTCTTCATATAATTTTATCAGCTTAATATCAGGAAATTTGAGATTGCTGATGACATGTTTTGGAAAGATGGTGAGCCTTTCCGCATTATTGGTGGGGATCTGCATTACTTTCGTGTTCTTCCTGAGGTATCCTATAAGATTTTCAGTAAACTTAGAGTTCCCATTGCAAAAGAGTAGTTGTTAGTAAGATTGGTGGTCTTTATTATATATTCCTGAAAATTGGACATCGAATCCGTGTATTGGCGTATCATGTTTAGTGTTTAATGAACTATTCTTATTTGAAGATGGATTTCATCCAGCTTAATCAACTAAGCATGAGAATTAGCAAACTAAATTTATTGTGGAATCGGGAAAGCAGCAAATGGTTATGAGCTGGGATGTTATTGCCTTTCTAAATCTTGGGGTTTATTCTTGGTATTAACGGTGTGTTTGGATAAAGAAATGGGAAAGAAAAGAAGGGGAGGGTGGGAGGTGAAGGGGAGGGAAGAGAAAGGAAGGGGAGAGAAGAAAGATGAGTTTTCCTTCCAAATCTCTCCATTGTTGAAGAGATTAATTTCTTACAATTTAATCCTTCCATTTCTCTCCCCTCCAATTCCCTTCCTTCCTTATTTGTTATCCAAATGAAAGATAATCCATCCCTCCATTTCTCTTCCCTTCTTTTCCCTCCATTTCCTTCAATCCAAACAAAGTGTTAGTCTGTTATATGATGACCCTTAGATAGACCCTCTGTTAATTAATGTATGCTGGCAATGCAGTATTGGGAAGATAGACTGTTAAGAGCAAAGGCATTGGGCTTAAACACAATTCAGACTTATGTTCCATGGAATCTGCATGAACCAAGTCCTGGTGATCTGAAATTCAATGGTATTGCTGACATAGTATCATTCCTTAGACTCTGCCAGAAGCTAGGTTTTTTTGTCATGCTTCGGCCTGGCCCTTACATATGTGCAGGTATGTATTTTTTTGTAATATACTTTTTTCCCTTCTTATAATCTCGTTTGCTCATCTTATGCCTGCTTATTGTAGCTTACAAGATCATCTCATTCATCTGCATCATTTAGTTAAAATCAGAAGTTAGTGGAACATTGTGAATGCTTAACTTTTACAGAGTATGATTTAGGGGCTTTTGGGAGTTGTTCTCATGTTAACTTTTTACATGGGTTCTGAACTTCTTTTTGAAGTCTAAGATAAAGTAATTTTGAATGTAGCCAACTATGGTATGGGAAAATGTGATGCAACTTTGTCTATCTCAAATTTGGTGGAGGGGTGGTTGGATGGAAATCTTGAGGCTGGTTCATAAAATGCACTACTTTGTCACCTTTTTTTGATTGGGTGAGATGAATGTGGATAATAAGGAAGATTCGGGATAAAGAAAGAAGTTGTGTACAAGAGTATAAGTGTATAATTCTGTGAAGGACTTGTGACCTTCTAGATTTGGATATTTTACCTTGCAGAAAAAGAGGGAAATGGTAAAGGTCATTTTCTCTTGGTAGAGTGATGTGAATGTTGAGATTCAGGAGTCAGGACTATGTCTTGATTTTGTATGCACTTGTTATGTGTACCATATTGATTGTCATTCTATTTGTAGAGATTTCTTCCTAATAAGGTATATTTTGAAATTACGTTGCATTTTCGATTGAATTGCTCTTTTTGTCAAGCAAATTGTTTTTCTTTAGTAAAAACCTAGTCTTATTCCTTGATATTATAATTTGGATTTAGATATGTAGTTCCTTTAATCTTAGTTTTATAGTTGCTTCACATAATTTATTTCTTTAGCACTTTTGAGTTTTGACCAACAAATATGCATGATGTTCATGCGCTATTTGTCATTCTAATTTTTATATATTTTTGTTCAATCATTTAATTATTCATTTTTTATTTGGATATTTTGTAAGAAACCACCTTTTAAATCCTTGTTTTTGTAAAAAACCATCTTTTAAAAAAATTATTGTAAAAAACCACCCAATTTAATAATTTTGTTGTAAATCGCAACCAATATATCAAATGACAATTGAATTGTTAATAGTCAAAGCTCATTTTCCTGCAATAGGTGGTGAATTACAACAAAAAACTTAAACTTGGGTGGTTTTTTACAATATTTTTTTTTAAAAGGTGGTTTTTCACAAAAACAAGGATTTAAAAGGTGGTTTCTTACAAAATTTCCATTTTTTTTTGAAGTTCAAATTGATTTTCTCAGTCTTTCTACTGGCGTGTACCACAGAGAGCACAAAAATGCTTTTTGGTACCAATTATTTTTTGTGGAAAGCCGAAACTGTCTTTATGCTGTTCTACCTTTTTGTTTCCCCCAGTAGTTACTAAAACGTATCCTGTCTTTCATTTTCCCTCTCTACAGCTCACCCCTTCCTCTTTTGACCACTTTGTTCTATATTGCTTTCTGTTGACCGAGTTGCTGAACATAAAATATATTAATATGTTACAGAGTGGGATCTGGGTGGATTTCCAGCTTGGCTACTTGCTACAGAGCCAACTCTTAGACTGAGATCTTCAGATCCTATGTACCTTGAATTGGTATGTTTCCTTCTCGGTTTATTTTACATTACAATTACTTGCTTTGTTAGGCTACCTTTGAAGACTGTCCTGAGATTGGTTCAATTGTTATAAAAAAAAGGTTAATGTCTCAATGGGCTGGGTTCACTAAATATGGTTTTAGTGAAAGAAAGTCTGGAGGTCTATTTAAATACTGTTGCCATAGGGTATGCCATTTTTGCTACAAAAAATGATGGTATTTGAGGATGCTATGCTTGCCAACATTTGCCAATTTGGACTTTTTACTTGAGTTAGTTGTCTATTAGTGTTTGTCTATCACTTATTTGTTTCCCTTTGGTTTGATGCACACTATTTAAAATTGATGTGTTGCTGCAGGTAGATAAGTGGTGGGGTATACTGCTCCCAGTGGTGGTTCCTTTGCTTTATGGAAATGGTGGTCCTATTATCATGGTTCAGGTGCAATTTTTTCCCCCCTTATCCTTGTAGTTGCTTTAGTATAGCCATAGCTTATATTAGGAAGTATATTATAGAAAAAAGCAATAATGGATCAGCACTCATGATTAGGGGAATGATTATGCATGGGCCCTTGTTCCTTGAAAGTTGCACATCCACAAAATGGTACTCTGAGTTTGTGATGCCTCACCTGTATATGGTTTCTATAACAAAGTGAAGATATTTAGAATCAATAAATTAGAATTAATCCCCATTTTTTCAACACATTATGCGCAAACCTTATATTTCTTCTTAGGTTCTAAGAGGAAATTATTTTATGGCAGATAGAAAATGAATATGGTTCTTATGCAGATGATAAAGCTTACCTGCATCACCTGGTCAAATTGGCCAGAAGACACCTTGGAGATGACATTATCTTGTAAGGATTCCTGTGTCTTTTGTGCTGTTTTCGTGGTTCATAATAGTATAATGCTAGATGTATATGTGCATCTTTCATGATAGAGTTTTCCCAGTAAACAGTTTCACACAAGATATTCTTTTGACATTTAAATACCTTTTTGTAACTGATTTGAGTGCTGGTCATCTTATATTTTTCAATTGAATATTAATTGTATGAGCTGCATCATGTCCTACATAATGTTCTTAGGAAAAACTTGTGTTTCAATGTGGAAAGATCATAAATGTAGTTTATGAAAATTATTGCTTTGCATTATGCCGTTCTTGTAGCACATTTGAGGTCAGGTTGCACTAAGTGGGATGTGTTTAGCTCTGATTGTTCATTAGAATTATCTGGACGTCATGACATTGTGTAAACTTCCTTCCCTTTCTTAACATGAATCAGTTCCTGAAGGTGGTAAAGCACAGAACCCATTTTTTTATGGTTCCATGGGGTTTGAGCCAAGTTTAATGTATCAATTTATGGCGGGGGAAATGTTTAGTGGTTAGGTTCTAGGGCCTGACCTTGTCTCTCCTTGCTTCGTCACTCTTAGCCTATGTCGGAGTCTGGGTTGGGCTAACGGACCACAGCTTACCTGCCTGAAAAAAGGAGGCAAAATCATCTTAAGCAACATAATTTATTTTAGTTTAATGTTGAAGTAATTAGTTCCTCTTGAAGTGTACGTTTAGTTCCCTTGTCAATATATAGTGTACACCATTATTTATCAAAGTGTAGGACAACTGTATGTTGAAACCCTGTCACCATATGGCTGTATGCAATTCCAAGTTACTATTTTGACTAGTTATGAGCAATTTGCAATTATTGTTTTTACTTAATATTTTTTTAATTATAGTATAAAGTTAAAAACCCTTGGGATCCATGACAATTTTGTTTACTTTGTGCATCAGGTATACCACGGATGGAGGTACGAGAGTAATCCTTAAGAAAGGAACTATCCCAGGAGACAATGTTTATTCGGGTAAAACCAAGAATTGTTCACTGAAATACATCTGCTTAATAGAAAACTATGCTTTCCTTGCATGAGAACACAATATAGGCTACTATACAATAAAATGGGTTTTGCTTGATATTAAATTATGTAGTTTGGTTTTATAAGTGGGTTACACAAGGCTGTTGTGGGTCATTAGGTTGCAACGTGTTTTGGCTTTAAATGTTTAGTGCCTCTTATTTTGGTATATAATAGCATGTAACATGCTAAAATGTTCATCTTCACTTAATCTTACCAATCATATTTGAGATTTTTTGAATTTAAGCTTTTACTTTGAAGTGTTCAGAATAGTAATTCATGCCATTGTTGCAACACTGGTTGTAATGCTCGTAAGTTAAGGTTAAGATTTAGGTGATTCTGTTTGGTTTGGTTATTAGTCAAATTTTACTTTGAAGCAAACTTTAGTTTTATGATATCCGATACCAACATTTCTTTATTAAAACTTGTGACCCTTCCTGTGGCAGCTGTTGACTTTTCCACAGGTGATCAGCCATGGCCCATATTTAAATTGCAAAAAGAATTCAATGCACCTGGAAAATCTCCTCCTCTTTCGTCGTAAGCATCATAATTGTGGTCATTATTACATGACAGAATGATCTGCAATGTGATACTTATAATGTTTCTCATTCCAGGGAGTTCTACACTGGCTGGCTTACACACTGGGGAGAGAAACTTGCAAAGACTGATGCTGACTTTACAGCAGCAGAGCTAGAAAAGATATTGTTGAGGAATGGCTCTGTGGTTCTTTATGTATGCTAAAAGAAATTGCCTTTAAACAGTAGTAAGAACTGTTAGTCCAGAAATATGATATAAGCTATTCCAAATTTTAGATGGCACATGGTGGAACAAACTTTGGGTTCTTTAATGGTGCAAATACTGGCTCAGATGACTCAGATTATAAGCCTGACCTCACATCCTATGATTATGTGAGTCTCCTTGCCCTAAAGTTTTAATTTTAATTTTTTTTCCAGCCTATGTGCTTAATGAATTGTGTCTTTTCTCACAGGATGCACCAATTCGAGAAACTGGTGATGTGGACAATGCAAAATTTAGAGGTACCTCTTTTAATAGCTAATTTACACCTTGTCATTTTTACTTTCTGCTAGTAATTATTAAAATTCGTCATTGACTCATTCATAACCTTTGTTCTGAAATAAGTTGCAGTAATACTTTCCTCCCAAATCTACTCATTTAGCTTCTGATTCAAGACTGTTTGCAAAACTGATGCTATAAGCTGCATCCCATAAATTTTGGCAGTGGTAGGCAACCTTTTCCACGGTTTAACTGAGAAGGAAAAGAAGCTTTTGTCTTTTGAGGATGATTTAAAGGACTCGGCCCCCTGATTAATATAGGATCCATTTTCAAACAAAATGATTCGAACTGGTTTCATAAGCATGTTATTTCACGATGTAAAGCAGACTAAGTAACCCAAGAGCTCATATTGTATTAGCAAACCAATCTTTCATGCCACTCCTCTCACTCTCTCCCTTTTAAAAGAAGCCTATGAGAAGCTTAGACTGGAGACAACATTAATTACGGGATCTTATTTTTAGCATAACATTGGCGCACTGCCTTTGGGACAAGGACTATCTCTATCAGACTCTTGTTTAGAGAGAGATAGGATTATTAGTACTATAGTTCTCCACAAATATAGAAGTTATAATGTACTATGGCACACTGTTACTCAATTCACTGTAACAAGATTGGCTATGGGAATGCAATTCGCTACCTAATTTTGTTAATCATGCCAAGAGCCCAAGATGTACCGCTTCATTGTATAAATTAGTCTTTCGATTTGTGATTCGTTTGGGATTAGAGAATTTAGTAACATTGCTATGGCACTATGGCAGTTACTGAGATGATATATTGTCTTTATTTCCAAGTCGAAACTTTATGTAATATGTATTGTGCAGGTACTCTTATATATACTGATTGTTAATTTATGATATTGAATTTTGATTTTCAGCGATAAGGAGGGTTATAGAGAAATATACTGTGGCAACTCTTCCTCCGATCCCCGCCAATAATGAGAAGGCAGGATATGGATTTGTTCAATTAGAGAAAACTTCAAAATTGTTTGATATCATTGGTATTCAAGATAATGCCAATGTTGTTGAATCTTTTAACCCAATTTCTATGGAGTCTGTAGGCCAGGTAATTCATAATTACTTTTTGATAGGAAGGTGTTTTATGATTTAAAAATTGCTACTTTATTTTTATTTTATTTTTATTTTTATTTTTTTTTACTATCTGCTTGTCTAATTTCAATTAGCTTGCTATTATGTTTGATGTTTGACTAGTAGGTTTGGATTTGAAACACATCTCTGTTGTTTTAGTGTTTCCTTTAATCAAAAGAGAAAACAGGCATGTACTTTCTGTATCATAGGAAGAAAAAAGGGAACAGGAACAGTGATTAATGTCTGGTCCATAGTTATTGATAGCTGTATATTTGTACCTATTTATAACTTGATTAATGTTAGTCTCTATATAACTTATTGCTACATGCTACCTTCTCATGGTTTGGAATATAACTTCCACTCCTGGAACAAAGGAAATAATAATAAAAAAAGGGGTATAACTTACTACTCCACTTTGATAAAAAAAAGGTATAAAGAAAAGAAGTACAGTATTTCATTTAGTAATTCTGCTAAAGCACTATAAATTATTGTGATATCCATTTTGACCAAAAAGTTGGACAGCTAAGACTGTAATCTACCAGTTTACAGAACTGATTGTGAGTACGGTTTTTTTATTTATTTTATGTATATATATATATATATATATATATTATCCAGATGGCTTTTGCTAAAGCTTCGTTCTTGTACTCTTGTTTCCTGGTTTCAGATGCATGGATTTCTACTATACATATCAGAATTTAGTACACGTGATAGTGCTAGCACCTTAAGTATATCAAAGGTATGATTTGAAATCCTTGTACATTCATTTCTATTGTCATCTCTTCTACCTTCCTATGATATTTCTTTTCTAAAATTGTGGTACTTGTACACCCTATTCAAATACTGATTAATTGTTCATATGAACACATGAAAGTTTAATGTCTCCCTAATAATAGTAACTGATGCGTTGTAGTTACTTTCCTATTTAAGTATACTCATGTTATCATGATAACAGTTAAGCTGTTTCTGCCTGTGGCTTTAAAATATGGATGCAAGCCATTTTAATGCTATGAACCCTTGATTGTCTATGCTTGCAAGATATTTTTTTTTTTTTAGAAAATCAACATGAAATTATAGAATCTCCTTGAATCATTGTATGTGCGTAAACTTCCTTGTTATTGAGCTCAAAGAGTTCCTGATGTGTGATTTCAATTGAACTTTGCAGGTGCATGATAGAGCCCAGGTATTTGTTTCATGTCATTCCAAAGATCAAGGAAGACCAATTTATGCAGGGAATATTGAGAGATGGTCCAACAAAGAACTTAAGCTTCCTCATCTTAAGTGTGTTTCAAAAATCAGTTTATTTGTTTTGGTATATGATATTATCTTTCCTCTCCATATATATGTGCCCTGAAACTCACCTTAGATCTTCAGTCAATTGCCTCTGAAAAATGAACTTAGAATACTGGATATGTTATGTAGATGAAGAGGATCATTAAAATGAGAGGTGATCCCATAATAAGGTTGTCTATTGAAAACTTTTTATATGTCACTGGTCCTGTAATGAGTGCTTCTGTAGGGATGAGGCTGCATATACTTTGATGGAAATACTTATATGGAAGCATTGCTAGGTTGTTGTGCTACTGCTGCTACAACTGCCTTGCAAGGTGCATTTGCATCAGTAACCATTGAGCTCTTAACATAATGATTTTTCTGGGTTTTTCTATCCATGATTTGTTTGTCTAAGATGTCTTAGTGACCTTTTTCCAGTCCATATGCCTGAATTTTTTGGTGAATTGTAAACAACTCTTTTCTAATACATCTAATATGATGTTTTTCTTTATTGTCAACTATTTACCTTACATTAGCTTTGCTCTTGTGCTGGTAGGTTGAGAACATGGGCAGGATTAATTATGGGCCCTACATCTCTGACAGGAAGGTCACCTTCTCTCTCCCTCCCTCCCTCCCCCACCCCACCCCACCCCACCCTCTTTTTTCTCTCTTCTCCTCATGTTGCTATCCTATATGTATTTAGGCTATTATATCTTTTGGCATCATAAAACTTGGAAAAAGTTGAAAGACAGTTTTTGAGTATGCGGAATCTCTTTGGCTAGAACAGTCCAACTACAATAAAGTTTCAGTTTCTAATTTTGGATTTTCTTTAAAATCATCTTTATTAGGCATATGAGCTATTCAACTTTGGGGATCATGCCATGGCTTTAATACCCAATATAAAGAAGTTATGTGTTGGTTTTATGGCTTTTCAAAGTACAGCAGGCATTCCTTATGAACTACTTTGCGGTGTACCATATAATATATTAGTAAAACATGTTCTCTTTCTCTCTTCAATCTTGAACATATTCTTGAATCTTGCATCTTGATTAGAGTCATGAAGCTTGTAACTGGAAATTTTGTGTCTCAATTACAGATGTTTAATCTTTATTCAAGCTTAAAATCACTACGTCTTTCTAGATAGACTTGCTCTTATTTAGCTTACTTAATTATAGCATAGGATGACTTTTTCCCCTTTACTACGTTTTTGGATAATAAGGGTCTCTCATCTTCACCTGATTTCTAAAATTACTTTTATTGATTATTTTGATTTTTTACTGATTGCAACTGATTTTTATTAATATAACTGATTTCACTTGTTCACTAATATATTTTGTAGTATGAAGTTACTGATTCAAACTGAACGTCAACGATTGAAATTATTTTTATCGATTTATACTGATCAAAACTGATTTGTACTAATTTAAACTTTTTTTTTTTTTTTTCCTGAGTATATATATGTATACAGGTATATCTTAAGGTGAAGAGAATGAGGCTTGAGGCTTGAGGCTTGTATATTACCTTTTCAACTCAGTTTTATGATTTTATTTTCAGGGAATGTTGTCTCCTGTCTATGTGGATGGACGTGTTCTTCACAATTGGAAAATGTTCTCAATTCCAATCCACAATCTGAATGATCAGAGTAGTTCAATAATTCAGCTTGCTGGCAATGACCTCACTACAGTACATGCAGGCAAACGTATGAAAGATCAGTGTGGTATGTTTTCTGTTTCACTCTTTTGTGGATCTTATGAGTAGTATCACAAGTATTATCTTGTTTTATTTCTTATATTGGAAGCAGTGTTGTACTCTTGTTTACTTGTCATTGTTTTCTATGCTTGTACAGCGAACATATCAAATGAACCTGCTTTCTACACCGGTTCTTTTACTATCAATAGTGTCAATCAAGTCAAAGACACATTTTTGTCAGTAGATGGCTGGGGCAAAGGGCTTGCATTCATCAATAATTTCAATTTAGGACGATATTGGCCGGTAGATACTTATATTATTTTTAAGTCGATTTTGAATCATTTTTCAATAAAATCATCGATAAGAAACACTTTTCTTTTTACAGACATTTGGGCCACAGTGCAATCTTTATGTCCCTGCTCCACTTCTTCGCCATGGGAGTAATACAGTGGTTAGTTATTTTGTCTATGCTACAATTTCATATTTTCATTATAGCATGTTGCCTTTTTCTTGCTTCCCTCATATATATCCTGCTTTGCTACCGCACTACTCAAGTGGAGTTTTAAAAGTTAGGTACAATTCAGTAATGAACAGGTTCACATTTCAGGTACTCTTTGAGCTCGAGTCTCCAAACACAGATCTTGCGGTCAGGTTTGTTCAGCACGAGGACTTCTCATGCAGTCAAACTAGTTCAAACATTCTTGAAATTTAAAGTCACAACATCAGTGATATACAAAGTGCTTCATTCACTCCCAACAAGTAGAAACCTGCTACAAATAGTCTATTCCAAAATCAATCATTGCATCTGTTTGATTTTGTACTTGCTAAAACTGCCCAAAGTTATATCAGTTTAAAAAGAAAGATGGAAAAGGAGATCTAAATCCTTACTTATCTAAGTAACTGAATACGCTACATGCCAATCTTATAACCAGGTTTGGTCGCAAGCTTTGACTATACAAGGGCACCATGATCATACCCTTTGTAATGGAGTAGAATTTATTGTAGAAACTTGTATTGTTTAATACTTAGTGTAGGCTGTTAGGTTTTACAGTTATTCAAAACAAGAACTACTCAAGTTTGTGGAACAAAACCTAAAGCAAGTGTATAATTTCAATTGAATTATACAACAACCAATACTAATCAAAGTATTAAGTATTAAGCACCAAAATATCAGTGTAATACAGAAATTACAAAGAAAAAACTCTAATGTGAAATATATTAAACTTGCCTCAACTTCAAGCCTTTGACAATGACCATGAACATGAGAATATCGATGATCCCTTGAGTCTCAAACCCTGATACTTTGTCTTAGGTGTGTATATATATTCCTAAAGAGGTTAATTTCCTCCCACAACGGTGCTTAAGTTTAATCCAGAAATCCTCTTTGAGATACAAAAGACAGCAATTCGATCTTAGCACTAAGAGTCTAAATAGATGACAAATTCACAAATATGACTAAATTTCTAGAGTTTTCCAATGACAAGTTTGCAAGATTTCTCAAAGGAAATTGTCGACAATATTTGGGGAGAGAAGGGTCAAAATGTTCCGTCACTACAGATCTCACGAAACATCTCTTTTAATAAGAGAAATAACCGTCAGCAAAAATCCGCAGAATGGGAAGCAGTGCGGGCGCGACACAAGGCAGCGCGGGTGCACCTCCCTAGGCTGCCTGAATGCTGCTGCAATTCCAATGAGGGGCGCGGTTTTATCGCGACTTGCAGCGCGGGCGCGCCACCCACATTCTTCAAAATGCTGATTTTGATTCAAAATGGTGCGCGGTTTCATCGCGGCCACGCCTACCTTGCGCAAGCGCGCTTCGCGCACCATACAACACCCTCTAAATCATCAACATAGGCTTCTTAATTCTATTACTTGAGTTGGATAAATTATTTAGGAAAATTTGGTAAAAATAATCCCAACTTTCACGTATTCGCTTTAAATAATCTCAACTTTGTATTATTAAGGTGTATTCGCTTTCTTTGGACCTAGTTGACCGGTAACCGGTTAAACAAGTTTTTTTTCTTTTTATCCTCTCCTTTGACTTCAGTCAATATCCACCACCGCCCTTTGCCTCCATCCTAACCACTGGATCTCCTAGCCACCACCACTTAACCATCAATGGATTCAAACCACCTACTTTCTCCCTTTGCCCACCTTACCCAACTGCCGCTGACCTCCTTCTTGCACCGAAAGGGCAAAAACAGAGAGGGAGAGAGAAAGAAGAATGGCGGAAATTAATTGACGGTATCAGAGGGGGTGGTTTCGCGGCTAGGGAAGGTGAGAGAGGATGGTTTCAAGGCTGGGCAAGGGGACGGGGGTGGTTTTTGGGCTGGCAAAGGGGGAGGGATAGGGTTTTTGGGCTAAGCAGCAAGGCGGGGGGTTTGTGTCGATGGTTGGGCAGGGAGGGTACGTGGGTGGTAGGTGTGGCTGGGCAAGGAGAAAGGGGAGGGTGGTGGCCGGAGGTGCTGGGGAAGGGGAGGAAGAGGGTATTCGTGGTGGCGGCAATGGTGGAGAAAGGGAGGCAGTAGTGGCTGGTTTATTTTATTTTTTTAATATATTTATTTTAAACTTTTTTTTTCTTAAAAATTAACTAATCATGTGATGTCACGTGTCCCAAAAACCTGTTATAACAAGTTAGGAATCGGTTAGGGACCAAAGAAAGTGAATACACCCTAAAGTTCGAGTTATTTAAAAATAATCCAAAGTTGGGATTATTTAAAGCAAATACTTGAAATTGAGATCATATTTACCAATTTTTCCAATTATTTAATACTTGGTGTATGCTTCTTAATTCTACCGCACTACTCAAGTGGAGTTTAATACTCAAGTAGAATTTATTTGATACTTGGTGTAGTATTTATTTGCCTTCTCCTCTACATTTGTACTACCTGTCTACTTATGTTGCAATTTGTAACAATTGCAAATTTTCGATCTTTGGTGACAGATTGAGCTTTATCCAGTTGCAGTTGTATGGAATTTGGATTGTGTCAAATTTTATAATTTCTATATAAAATATTTGTAAAAATAATTGATATTTTTAAGATTGTTTGGAAAAAATATTTGATATTTTCAAGTTGATGTCGAGTGAAGGTGAAGTGGGGCTGTAGGAGAACTAGTGGTCAATCTGAGACAGTTTCTGTTAGTCTTTCGAACATGAATCAGCAACTTCTTAATCCCAAAATCAAATATATGGCAGACCAGTTGAGAAGTTCTGTACATTCTTATAGAAGACTTTATTTGACTAATGAATGCAAGCAAGTCTGAGAAGCTGTAAATTTTTCTAAACTCCCTCTTCTTCCACAAGTAATATACTTGCCAAACAATACCAGTTTGATGTTGAACTTTAATTCTCTGCAAGTATTTTTCTTAACATCAGTCTGTCACAATAAGACTGCACCTGCCACTAAAAATTTGTTGAATATATGAGGCAAGCTGCAGATTTAAATCTGTCCATACAACTTGGTATACACATACTCTTACATTCATGGTAACAGTCACATCCTCTTACAGATACAGTCACATAAAAGAACTAGTTCCTTCAAAAAGACTAATTCATTCCTAGCAGACTACAAGAACCATGAGCTATACAATCTGTGCATCCCTGCCATAAAATTTAGGAACGCTAACTATTGTACTCATCGGTATTATTAACTGGCCACCATCGTAAATGAATAATTGAGGTAGGGAAAAAGGCGGTCTAAAAAGTCACTTGGCAGGTGGCTTGGAAGCATCTGGTTGATTCATTTTTGATCCAGAGGCATCTGGTTGATCCTTTTTTGATCCAGAAACTGCGGCAGTTGCTGCTGCAGTCATAGCAGCAGCAGCAGCTCCCAACTTAACACCCCCTGCAGCTTTCATTGCACCAGCTATTTTTGCAAAAGCAGCTATTCCTCCCACGAGCATTGCCCTCAAAGCAACAGTTGGTTTTACCTCCATAGCCTTGCGTTTCAAAACAAGCACTCAATAGCCTTTTCTGTATAACATGTAACATAATAATGTCAAGGTTACAGTAACTTACAGGGCAATCAAGTCCCTCAAGGATTTTAATGATAAAATTAAAAGCTAAACAAGCAATTTTGCATTTGAGACTTGGGAAATACTCAGAATTATGTTAACTCCTTAATATAAGTCTAGCGCAAGAACACACAAACAGCAAGTTCTTTAGTACAATGACTAAGTCATTATTATAAAACCTATTCCCTTTTCTCCATCTCAATAATCTACTCTACCATTTGAGTTGGATAATTTCAGGAGTTTTCATGCTCTATAGAAATTTGGCAGAATCATAGCCTTATTTACCAATATGGAGTCATCTGAAGATAAAACCCGATGCCAATTGTTTTCAAGTCAGGCATCCATCACATAAGCCATAAATCTTTAGTATCAAATAAAGGTTGAGACAGGCATCTATCACATAGCCATACGTCTTAAGCATCTATCACATAGCGATACATCTTTAGCATCTATCACAAGCAAAGATAGAAGAAGTTGTATTGCATTAATGCCATGAGACTAAAGTGGAGTGAGTCATGAGTTTCAAGCGACAAGAGAATTCTACTCAAACTCTCAAAGGGCAAACACTACAGTCTACAAGGCAGACATAACACATGATCTTTACTCTTTAGTATCAAATGAAGGTTAGGGGAATCATTTGACGGGAGCTGAGCTGGATACAATGTCTACACAAAAGAATATACGTGGAACATAATATAAGTGAGTCTAGATTTTTACAATATAGGCATGTAAAGATGAGACAGCTAGAGGAGATGAAATCTCAGAATTGTAGGGAAGAAAAGGGTTTCAAAGAAATATTAGGGAGAAAAGATCAACAGGACATGAATTTTTTGAGTCACCAAGGGCATGGCTCTTACTAGGAGATTTTGCATTCTATCTTAGGCTGTAGACCCCAAGAAGGGCATGTTCTGTGTGAGTAGGATAACCATAATATAGGTTTTGTTATCTTCTCCCTCTTGCCTGCTAACAAGGAGCAAGGACACAACTTATTAGATTGCTTTCAGCTCTTTTTTGTTTATTCGTGTATATACCACTTTCTTGCAGAAACAAACCCTGCCATGATACTAAGGGAAACAGCTTCAGCTAGTATGGGTGAGATGCATAAATCTAAATCACCACAGATCCTGCTCCACCAGCAAGACAGATAACTGTTTTTGTAGCCCTTGAGATAGAGATATATGTAGATGTATTTATATAAAAGCTTAGGGTCCCAGCATACTAGCAAGATAAGTAACTTCCTTTTAAGTGCAGGAGTTCCTAAATCTCAAACTACAGAAGTACATACAAAGTTCAGGTTGATGAGTTGCAAAGGAATATGATCACATAGATCTTATTAACCAGCAAGACAAAGCATGCATGTAAGTACATAATGGATTTATAAGCTAACTTGAGTACTTAAACAACCTAAACACGTTCTCATATGACAACTCAGGCGATCATGTGAAGGCTGTCATCAATTACTTTGTTACATAGTCCCATATCTATTCCGCATCATTTACCAGAATTACATCATGTATCTAGTCTCAAAATGATTTAAACCATTTCAAAGACCAGGCATGCTCTTTGTATATGGGTGAATGCCCCCCTGCGCGTGGATATGGTAAAATAGAATCATTATTTTTATCTTTCTCTCTTTCCTTTTTCCCGCTACCAAAATTATTGTGCCCAACCTATATGGTGCAATAATAAAAATAAAAAAAAAAAACGGAGGAAGTATATAGAACTCGTGGAGTTGGGACTTATTAGCAACACCAAGCACAAAAATCATCAGGACAAACATAAGTTTAAGGAAAAATAAGGTAAAAAGAGGTAAAGATTGAGAAGAAACTCAAGCACTCAAGTCTCATGCTGCCCTCACACATGTCATATTTTGAGCTGTCATGAAGATTATTCTTTGTCAGTCAGAAAGATTAAACCAAGAATTTCATTTTTTGGGTAAAAAAAGAACCACCATTTGGCAAATTGAATGCATCTCAATTAACAATAACATAGGCTGACCGTTGAATTGTTAAAAAGTATTCAACACTAAGCACATACTTCCTCCGTTTTTATTTAGTTGACACGTTCAATTTAGGCACACATGTTAAGGAGAGGAGAGAGAATGATAAATCAAGTGGGGTACACTAGTAAATGTAAGAGAAAAAGCTTATCCAA